CAATCTTGGTGGGGAGGACATTATCCTTGGTCTCCCCTGGCTCCGCAAGCTCAATCCCACCATCGACTGGCGCAAAGGCACCCTCACCATCCCTCGCTCCAAGGTTTCCTCTGTCACCGTTGAGGAAATCCCAGACGAAGATGCCCATCCCATCTCTCGAGGTGCTCCCATGGGAGAAGCACTGGTAGAGCAGATTGGCATCGACGATGATTCACCTCCTATTCCGGCTCCAACTCCTCTCAAAACGGCGTCAACCTCAACACCCACTCCCCAATCAGCATCTACCTCCTCGTCTTCACTTCCAGACATCCCAGACGAGCCGACTCCACCGGTTGAACCTGAACCGGAGGACTACAGGCCTCCTCTCTGTCGCATCCGCGCCAATCGAAGGACTCGACGAAAACTGGTACGCAAGGGGATGCTTGAGGACACGGGCGACCAACTATGGTGCGCTGCTGGCTTCACGTACTCCCAGCAAATTGCCGAACAAAGCCAGAAGGAGAAGCCTCAAAAGACGTTCGAAGAGTTGGTACCCCCTGAGTACCGACAACATGCCTCCGTCTTTTCCGAGTCCGAATCCCACCGTCTACCGGAACACAAGCCCTGGGACCACGCCATTGACTTCATTCCCGGTGCCCCAGCTGCTGTCCGCACCAAAGTCTACCCCATGTCGCAGAACGAGCAAGAGGAACTCAACCGCTTCCTGGACGAGAACCTCCAGAAAGGCTACATCCGACCATCGAAATCGCCCCTCGCCTCCCCCGTCTTCTTTGTCAAGAAAAAGGACGGTAAACTCCGCTTTGTTCAAGACTACCGCAAACTCAATGAGTTCACCGTCAAGAACCGCTATCCACTTCCCCTCGTTTCCGACATCATTGGCCGCCTCAAAGGCGCCAAATACTTTTCCAAGTTTGACGTACGATGGGGCTACAACAATATCCGCATCAAGGAAGGGGACGAATGGAAGGCCGCCTTTGCCACCAACCAAGGCCTCTTCGAACCCCTCGTTATGTTCTTCGGTCTCACCAACTCGCCCGCCACCTTCCAAGCCCTCATGAACTCCATTTTCTCAGACCTCATCGCTGCCGGTAAAGTCGCGGTTTACCTCGACGACATCCTCATCTTCACCCTGACCCTCGAAGAGCATCGCAAGATCACTCACGAGGTGCTTCGACGACTCAAAGCCCATGACCTGTTCCTTCGCCCTGAAAAGTGCGAATTCGAACGACAGGAGATTGAATACCTGGGTCTAGTCATCAGGGAGGGAGAAGTTTCGATGGACCCAGCCAAGGTCGAAGCCGTTCGCAACTGGCCCACTCCCCGCAATCTCCGCGCCGTTCGAGGATTCCTAGGATTTGCCAACTTCTACCGCCGTTTCATCAAAGATTTTTCCACCATTGCTCGTCCACTCAACGATCTCACCAAGAAGAACGTGCCCTGGCAATGGGGTACGCCACATCAAAACGCGTTTGATACCCTCCGCCATCATTTCATTTCCGCTCCGGTCCTCTCACTCTGGGATCCTAGTCGCCCAACTCGCATCGAAGTCGACGCCTCTGGCTTTGCCACAGGAGGTGCTCTGCTTCAGAAGCACGACGACGGTCTCTGGCACCCCATCGCATTCCGCTCCTCCTCCATGCAGCCTGCAGAACGCAATTACGAGATTTACGACCGTGAAATGCTCGCCATCATCGACGCTCTCAAGGACTGGCGCCACTTCCTCGAAGGTCTCCCTGAACCTTTTGAGATCATCACCGACCATGCCAACCTCGAATACTGGCGCACCGCACAAGATTTGAGCCGCCGACATGCAAGATGGGCCCTCTACCTTTCCCGTTTCCAATTCCGTCTCACCCACCGTCCTGGAAAAGCCAACACTCAAGCCGATCCCCTCTCCCGCCTCGATATTCACCAAGTCAGCGACTCTGAAGATAACAAGCAACAAATCGTCCTCAAACCCGAACTTTTCGCCAAACTCGCCGCCACCAGCATGCTCGTCAACCCTCTTGAAGAACGCCTCAAGCAAGCCAGCAACCGTGAAGCCGAGGTCTTAGCCGGCCTCGCTGCTCTGCGCAACTCCGGACCTACTCGACTCGTCAACGGCCTACCAGAATGGGAAGAAGTCGACGGCTTGGTCTTCCACAAAGGCCGAGTCTATGTACCCAACGACGACGACCTTCGCCGCGACGTTCTACGACAGTGCCATGATGACCCCACTTCTGGCCATCCCGGAAATCACGCCACCCTCGAACGAGTCGAACGACAGTACTGGTGGCCCAGCATGCGTGCCTTCGTCAAGAAGTATGTTGAAGGATGCGATACCTGTGGACGCAAGAAGCACATGCAACATCCTCATGCTCTCACCCGCCCCCTCGATGTACCTGCCGGCCCCTGGGAATCAGTCGGCGTCGACCTTATCACCCAGCTTCCCAAAGCTCATGGTTACGACGCTATCATTGTTTTCACCGACCACTACAGCAAGCTCATCCACGCCCTCCCATGTCACTCCAACATCACCACAGAAGACGTCGCCGACATCTACTACCGCGAAATCTTCCGACTACACGGCCTTCCTCTACAGTTCATCAGCGACCGCGGACCTCAGTTCGCTTCGAAAGTCATGCGGGGATTACTCAAACACCTCGGGATCAAGTCGAACCTCACCACGGCCTACCACCCTCAAGCCAACGGTCAGACTGAACGCGCCAACCAAGAAGTCGAAAAGTACCTCCGTATCTACACCAACCGACGCCAGGAAGACTGGGACGAACATATCCCTATGGCCGAATTCGTCATCAACTCCCGGGTCCACTCTGCCCACAATCGCTCCCCTTTTGAAGTCGTTTACGGCTTCCTTCCTCACTTCAATATTCCCATTGGCAACCCCTCCGGTCTCCTACCCATCGACGACCGCCTCCAACGCCTCAAGGACGCCCGAGAGGACGTCGACGCTGCCTTACGACTGGAAAAAGGACACCAGAAGGAAGCATTCGAAGCAGGTAAACGTGCAGCTGATCACTTCAACATTGGCGACTACGTCTGGCTCGACTCTAGCGACATCAAGGTCAGGATCCCAGCTCGTAAACTAGGCGACATGCAGCTCGGACCCTACAAGGTCCTTGAGCGCATTGGTGAACTCGACTACAAACTCGATCTCCCTCGCAGCCTCTCCCGCCTCCATCCCGTCTTCCATGTTGACAAACTCTCTCGCTGGAAAGGCAACGACGTCAACGGCATTCTACCACCTCCTCCCGCACCTGTCGAACTCGAAGGTGAGGTTGAGTACGAGGTCGAATCTATCCTCAACAGCCAAGTCGTCAACCAAGGACGAAAGAAGGTACTTCAATACTTCGTCAGCTGGGCCGGCTACAACGATTCGCATAATTCCTGGGAACCTGCCGACAACCTCAAACGTTCAAGAGCCAAGATCAACGAGTTCCACCGCAAACATCCCAACGCCCCACGCAAGATCTAAGTCATCGAGGACGATGAAGCTTAGAAGGGGGGTAATGTCGTGAACACGGTCAGCCCCTAGCCCCTATTACACGCCCCTATTTTCGCTCGCGTCCCACCTTTTGATCTCCCATCACTCTTTCCGCATCAGCCCCTATCTTTTCATTTATCCGTCTCGGCATGGACACTTTCTATGGCGCACTGCCTCGTTTCTCCTTTCTCATTCTTCTGCACTACAGGCGCTGCCTTACGCGCTGCCTTTGACATTTCTATTCATTCGTTCACCTGACTCCTTTCTATTATATCACGCTTCTACGCGCTGCCTTACGCAGCTTCTATCAGCCTTGGTCAGCGCTCACTGTTCTTCGCGCTGCCCTACGCAGCATCGCGCAACCCTGCGCCATTCTTCACCATCGTTTCACTATCCTTCGCCATTCTGACACCATCGTTCCGCCATTCTTTGCCATACTCGCTTACTCGTACTTCAGACTCATCGCGGCTACGCTCATGTCTTGTAGAGTATATAAGCTAGGTAGTTCGCTCTGTATTTCCTCAGCTTGACCTCCTCGTCAATACATCGCTTAACTCGCAACCCAACCGCTCTGCTCTCAGCCTTCCGCTCTGCTCAGTATTTGTGGCTATTCCCACTTATATTTGAGTCAGTCTCTTCCGCGTCTTATCTCGTCGTCGCCGACCGACTTCGAGTCTCATCCGCTTGCCGATCAGACACCTTGTTGGTGTCCTCCGTCATCGCTTTGATATAGTGCCGCGTACTTCGCGACACATAGATGGATTGAAATCAGAGGTGGCTACGTGGCTACCCAAAACCAAGCCCCAAATCCTCTTCATCGTCTCTGAATTCTCGATTTAGTGAAAATTTGGATCTTGAAAATGGGCGTTTTCGTACACATTCCCCACCCGGAGTTTACCGGGCCGGATCGAACATCTGTGACAGTAAAGGGGGGGTCCTTGGATGATGTGCACCCGCAGTGGCAGCGACCCTCAATGATAGCGGGTCTATTTGTTGACAGAAGGGGAGCGCTGTGACGTCCTGCCAAATTGGTACAAGGTGAAACAAGCTGCACGTTCCACTCACCGATCAAATCATGTATAAAGCCAAAAGATTGAATTCTTGAACCATCAACGACGGAGCACTGAGCCTTTTGGGCAAGATTGTTCTCAATCCCCGGTGTAAGAGCTAGCGGTTTCCGTCAACTGTATCTCCCGTATCTGTGGGTGAGATTGTCAGCACAGGCGGTTGCAAGATGGTGAATACCGTAAACACATCTGGTGATGGGAGCCGACTACGTTTGGAAAGCACGCTCTGCAAAGGTATACTTAGTCGAAACCCGCTGCCGCAAACTTGTACTCGCGCACCTGTGCCTGTTCCTCTGCTCGCTGTCTGTCCTTAGCTCCATCTCCATATCAGGAAATGTCGGGTGTGTAGGCGACGCCAAGAAAGTGAGGCTTACAACGCCCCAATCTTTGTGATGAAATATACTTGCATAAAAGTTTAGCATCAAGAGGCTCAAAAAGGTCTCATTCTTCTGCCCCAATGAGGATTGAACTCATGACCTTCCGATGGTCTTGCGCCTGGGCGCTTAACAGTCGGACGCTGTAACCAACTCAGCCATGGGGCACGTGTTATTTGGTTCCATGTGGTGCATGATTACGCGCAAAGCCCATATTCATGGCTAGGCTGACCGCCGCTGTGCGGCCACTCACCCTCAAGGCCGAAACGACACCTCGGTCGTCTTGCACCCGGGTGTGTGCTTCACAGGTAGCAGCTCAAGGCATATAGCTCATAGCCACCTAATTAGATGGCCAAGGATTGCGTCTGTTCTGCTTGACTCCAACCGGCCTTGATACTTGTCAGCGCCTACTCGAGCGCTTCTCCCTGGTTAGAAATGAGTTGATCTCGGTTTTCGTGGGTATTCGTGGGCTCAGTCTCTACAATGGGCCTGGTGATGGACCAACACATAAAGCCCGTTGGGGGAGCGGGACTGCTATCTTTACCTTCGTTGGATCCGTTGAGCATCTTTCTCCTTGGCGGAAATAGATAACCGACTGGAGTGGTGTCAAGAACTGCTTCCTTGAGAAGCAGGAGCTTCCAAACCTCGGCGCGGTCTTTGCTGGCAACCACTTCCCATGAGTTTGTATTCCTTACGATAAGAACGGGCCTTCTGGGCGCTGGAAAGCACCCCTCTGATATAAACTCCTTGATTTGGTCGAACATAGTGAACAGCCTTCCTTCACCGTCATATGTGGGGATTTCTTCCCTTTCATCCATTCTAAATCATGTCGGAATACCAGCCCTCTGAATACGAGATTGATGCGTACGGTCGTATGCTCGCTGGAACGAAATTTGGCACATCCATTCTTGGAACTGTCTTGCTAAGTGAGATAGTTTCGAATAATTTCAGCCCTCTTTTTTAACTCACTAACATCCAGCCGTTCAAGTTCTTATGGTCTTATTGGGTCTCTTCAACTTCCTGGGGACGCCAAAAGATAAGCGCTGAGGACGCCTTCGCTTGGTCATAGTTAGCTTCATTATTCTGGTGGCCTCTTCAGCCGACACATGCATCGATATATGGGGCTATTACCGCGTTCTATACCACGGAGGACCAACAGGAAAGTCCTATGTTGAGGCCAGTGCAGCTAGATTTGAAGCGGATCAAACGATCGACCTCATTGGCGATGCACTGGTCTCGATCGCTATCGCCACAGGAGATGTACTCATGGTAAGTGTATTATCAAACTCATGGCATTTACTATCTCAAGTGAAGAACTTCTTAGCTCTGGCGTTGTTTGGTGATCTGGAGTGGCAGGAGGTGGGTCGTTATCTTTCCTGGACTCACTTGCCTCGGATCTATCAGTGAGCAGATCTTGACTGGGTAATACCCATAAGCTAATGGTAAACCCCCTCTCAGCATGCAATGCTGCCTTCATTGCACGTTCCAAAACAGGCCCGTATACTGTTGCCAACGCGGAACGCCTTGGTAGAACGCTTCTTGCGTCCATCTCCCTCGGTGTGGCAGCAAACATCATGATTACCCTCCTAATACTACTCCGACTCGCGCTGACCTGGAAAGCAACTCGCGACGCTTTCCCTGACCGAAAGCCACCTCGCATGTACTCGGATGTAGCAGCCATCCTTATCGAGTCAGCTGCACCATTGGCCATCTTCGGAATTTCCATGGTCGTGGCAAGAGCCATTCGGACTGCACCAAAACCGGAGAGCCTCGTCGAGAAAGGCAAGATGAATATTGCGCATGAGGTTATAGCGTGGCTCTATTACGGATTTTGCGTGAGTTGGGATTTCGAAAGAAGGCCACTGCTCTAATGTGTCCCAACCTAGGCCCTGTCCCCGCAGATGATCATCTTTCGCGTGACAACTGGTCAGTCATGGAAGGGTGTATACGAGACCAGCAACGACGTAGGGTCGCCCTCTCAGCCCATCCAGTTTGCTAGCACTCCAACGAGCGGGAGCGCCGAGCTCGAGACAAAGCATATTGTCTAACTGCTCGAAGTCTGGTTTACTGGACCCAAAATTACAAACCGTTCTATGCCCTTTACGCAGAGTTTGAACCGTGCCCGAAGTAACATGCCTTACATTGAGTTTTCCTTATACTATTCAGTCTACAGTCGAGTTCAGCAAAGCAAGTTTGGAAATAAGGGGCAGTGATGGAGGGCAACGCACACCTCAAGAAGCTGTCGAAACGCAGGGACAGTCTAGCATTCATTAACCACTGACGAGCGGCTGGTTCACAAGGCAGGTAGTACGACGTAGTTGGCCTCAATAGGAGCTCCATAAGAAAGGAACGCGTCGTTATATGATTGACAGGAGCATCGGCTATCGACGAGGGAGAACGTAGTGACGATGGAGCGATCCTCACCATCTTGATTGAAGAGGAATAGAAGGCAGTCCGAGGAGCAATGTTGAGGAACAATGTCAAGATCCATATAAGAGGAGTAAAGATCGCCTACCCCCCGTGCTTGAATCCCAACGTCGACTACTCCTGGAAAATGGCAAGTTGTGCGCCCCCCAACACAGGAGGCGCTTGAGCGAGGCCACGTATGTGGACCGTTCCTGAGCAATATGAAGAATATGGAGATTCTCCGAGTTGCACTGCCCTCGCGAGGTTAACAGTTTGTCCAGGACTGCGATGAGATTCTCTTGCATAGGCCAGCGCCAAGATAGTGGGCACGGTCAGCTTGTCGTCCTTGACTTGCTACCTGGGCTGGCAGCCAAGATGGTCGAGCTTGCATTGCCCTGCCCCGTTCGGATGTCGACGATGGGCTCCACTAGCCAGTCGGAGAGATGTTATCGTCGTCCTTATCCTACAACCACAGCTTGAATCTTGTAGTTAGGAGAGCTACGCACGATCAGAGAGTATCGATGATAAGACAAGGATAACCGCCAAGCGAGGGCAAGGGTGGTCGCACGAACGGTTCAATGCGTGGAAAGGCGACAGGCTCAAGGAACAGTGAGCCTATTGCTGGGGTGGCGATGGCGTTGCAATGTAATGTCGTTTCTTGAATAACGCACTCGAATAGGAAGGGAATTCACCTTAGAGCTTGTTGCCCCGCTGACTTTGAGCGTAGGCCGGTTTGTACATTGCTCTGATGGAAGTGCATCGTGAGCGAGCGAAAGCACTCAACAGTGCATCGCGGATTAGCTGGAGAAGAGTTGCTCAGATTTCGTAGGAAAAGAGAAGATAATGTGAACTTACGATGGGAAGTTCTAAATCCGGACGAAAATGAGCCAAACTTTCAGTCCTCTTGGCCTACAAGAGTGGCGTGACGTTGGTCTGTGGCTCAGATATGAATAGTCTGGCTGATTGAGCCTCTGAGATGTGCTTCATTAGTGCAATTGGTTGTCTCGTGAGAGCCGGTGGGGCTGGAAAGGTGGGTGGAACGATGGATTGCGCTGGGAGGGTAGATGGTACGTTGCTCGGCTGGGGGTATATGGAATCAAACAGGGTCGGGATCTCGATCGCCCATGTCCTGGAGAAATGGCGACACGCTCGAGTGTATTATGGCATTTGATGGCGTTAGTCTACCGAGAAATGATTGACGAAACTGTCACTTGCCTTCTCCTACGCTTCTAAGTACTGCGTGAAGCAAGCGGAATGGGTATGAAACCCAGGGACCGATTGACCCCAGTCGCCACTTGCAAGTCTTGCATCCAGCTTAAACATATGTTCAGCATTGGCTCTGCGCTGAGATATTCGCTAGCTTACTTAAAGTTTTCAGTTCCGAGCTTGGTTTTTATGCCTGCGCTGTTCCATGAACGCGTTGACATTGAAATGGCACTCCTGCTTTGGTGAGTTTAGTGATTATGGGTCCTATTCATTTCCATGGCATTGAAGAGAGGGGTCTCGTGGATTAATATAGCGAGGCCAACATAAGCGACGATGTGGGTGAAGTGGCGGAGGCAAACGTCTGGGATGCGCACCGCCCAGAGACGCCAGTCGGAGCTTGAACATTTCGAGTGGCGCAGTAATTACCCATCTGCGCCAAATGGGTCGTACTTAAAGCATATCTGGACAGGGACTCCACTATTCAATAAAGGTAGCATGGGCAGATATCTGAATCCCTTGAATTATGTCTTCGAAGGGATATTCGAAAACGGGGTTACTAGCAGACGCCCGATGGCGTTGGCGCGGCATTACAATCCAGAGTGCCCGCTCCTGGCCTTTGGCACCTTTGTTTCAGTAGTAGTGGCTGTATTGAAGCCGATTGAAGACAATTCTCTGGTGACATCATCCAACAGCTATATATGTAATAGCCCCAGATGCTGATCTTCAAGGAATATCAAGCATTGCCTTTCATTGAACTACCATCAAGAAGATCAAAGTGCACACTGCGATGAGAGGCATCCAAGTCTCTGTTTGTGGCTAGCCCACTCTGAGCATGCACATGTAAGCTCATACATGTCAAATTAAGATGCTCAGATGGTGGGCGCTTTGTTAGGGCAACGAGATGGCAGACGAAGCCAACCCAAAGCCTTGTCTCTCATGACACTCGATACTGTGAAGCAAGGATCCGGCTCGCTCATCCTTATTCGCAGACTGTTCCTGTTGGAACCCAAGACGCACCCTCTGCGACGTGAGAGCAGAAGTGAGAAAGCGATGCAGTGCACCGAAAGCTCTCTGATGCTAGGCGTCGAGCAGATGGGAAGGCTGTTCCGTTGATCAAGTTCATAGAAACCGTCAGCAGATCGCCGCAATCAACGAAGCATTGCAGACCTGATCGGCGTCGACTTCCATTTTGATATTCCACACCCAATCCCACTTCGATTAGCTTTGAGGCAGTATCTATGTGGGAAGGATCTGCGCGTGGGAGCCATAATCTATTGGCGTTGCGCAGCTTCGATCACTAGCCAGGCGTGGAGGAAGTGCGTGTAGTACTGGGCTCGAGTAACACGATGTGATTTACATCAAACACCTATTCGTTTCAAAGGGCTCGAATTCATGCTTTCTTGGCGACTATCGTGCAGAATAGACCAGGGCCATGGGTGAAAGCAGTGGTGAAAGTCCTAATTTAGAAGCCCAAGTTTCGTCCCTAACATCATATGACACCTGAAAAATCACAATGACTTGCTGAGATCACTGTCCGTGCATTGCTTGCCAGAGCA